TTAGTTTAGCCTTCATATGTTCCTCTAATTTGTGACTAGAATCTACCAGTTCTGTGAGCATCCTGATCAGCAGTGTTTTGAACTGTGCATCTGAAAGTTTGGCTATTTCTTCATTGCTTAGATTTATTGGCTCTGGGGCTCTGAGTTCTTCTTGAGCCATGTTTTGATCTGTTTGTGCCTGTTACGTATGAGAGGCGCCTTAGATGTCCACCAGGGCGGGGCCACCCAGTTTGCTGGTTTGTGATTTTTTATGTGGGGGCGGGGTCAGTGAGGGAGCAGTGGCGGCCCTCTCCGCTCACCCAGTCTGCCTCACTGCTCGCCCCCGCCTGTTTATCGAGCGCAAATGTGCGAGCCCATCACCCTGCACCGCCAGGGCCTGCATGATCTGTCTCAATGTTCGCCTCTTCACTGGTTTCTCTGCGTGCAGATGAGCCACCCACCGCAGACAGCCAGCCTTGCCTCTTCCCTGGCTCCGCCCATAGCTAGCCCATGCCTGGGATCTGCGCCCTTAGCTGCCTGCACGCCGCCTGGGTCAGGGGATCTTTTTTTGTCCAATCCGCTCCGCTGCTGGCTTCGCCCCTCTCACGGGTTTAGCTGAGCAGTTCGTTATTTTTGGACTCCGTATTGTTTGATTTTCTGTATGGTTTGTTTGTGTTTATTGTTGTTAAAACTTTGTTGTTTTTAGATTTGGTTGTGCAAGGACTCAAAGTGTTTCTACCTACGCCTCCATCTCTTACAGCAGGCTCTCTTTTGAAAGGAAATCTCAAACACAATTCATACAAAACTAAGGTTAACTTTTCTTCCATCCTCTCCTGCTTCAAATTTGCTTCCCTTTTAAATTACCCTATCTCTCTCTCCCTTTGGTGTCAGCATTCTTCCATCTTCCAAGTTAAATAACTTCCTGTAGTCTTTGGCTTTTCCCAGTACCCTATCTCTTATGTGCAATGTACAACTCGAGTTCATTCAGAATGCTTCTCAGTGTTATCACTCCCTCTCTCAGCACCACCCTTCGAATCCATATAATTATCTCACACTGATTGCTGCCATAAACTTATTCTTTTCCCTGGCTTGTCTTCCTCACTTGTTCCCTAAATGTTGGGGTTTCCCAGGATTCAACCCTTGACTCTTGTCTCATCTCTCACTGCAGGCTCATCTCAGATAGCTCATCCTATGAACTGACCTCTGCTGAAATACTCATGACTCCAAAATTTTTATCTCCAGACTCGTTTCTGTTCAGAGCTCTAATTGAAAGTTTCTCAAGCTTGAGTGTTATATACTCTTTTAAAGGGAAAAAAATTGTGTACCATAGCATTAAATTATTTTTAATGTTATAAATGCCCTAACAGTAAACTAAGTGAAACTTTCAGTAATAGTTTGGTTTCCTTCCAGACGTTTTTCTACCGACTTTACACAGTTGACACCACATCACGTGTATATGTGCACACACGTGTGTCCTGTCTTGCTTCTTATCCTTGACATTAGAGCAAAGGCATTTCCTTAGCAATAAAACTCTTCGTGAACATTATGTTTTTTCATGGATACGTAACATTTCACTTTGTGTGTCATAATTGATCTATTCTATAATGACATCTAATGTTAAATAACAAAGCAATATATAACTGTACATAAGGTTTTGTCAGAATTTAAGAGCATTTTCTCAGAATGGACTTCCAAAAATGGAAAACTAGGGGTCTTCATTTCAGAGATGAGAAAAGCTAGGTTCTAGGAGTTTAAATGATTTCCCTGAGGCCACTGGGCCTGTAAAAGGTCAAAGAGGAAAGGGCAATCTCAGCCCTGAGTTGTTTCCATCGCGTCAGGCTATGTGTGCTGGGTCACCAAGAAATGGCTGCTCTGCTAGAATTCTCCAGGGGATAGAAGATATGGACGCTACAAAGGGCTATTTTATGCTCAAATTCCCTGAACACTGCAGCCTGATTTAGGATTCAGAGGTGCAGGTACATGCAGCAGGAGATGTATGGGGCCTCTCTGAGGGCCAAAAAAGCAGCAGTAATCTGGTTAGGTACTATTTTTGCAGTGTGTGTGTGTGTGTGCTGAAGTCACATCTGCATGAGCACCACTGTCTTGATCTTGTCCTGGCTTGAGAGGACTGTAGGGGTCCTTCAAGGTTGAGCTTTAACACCAGCCTTTTAAAGATGATACACACTCTTACACAAAATCAGGCACCACGCAGCTGTCTTTGCAGCTAGCCCTCTACCAGGGCCATTGGCCTGGCGCTGCTGCAGTGAGGAGATACCTGATGCCGCTGCTCTGAAAGGCAGCACGTTACTGATTTTATTCAAGGGGAGATGTCTCTTGCGTGGATTCCAGCCAAGATGTGACTTTTTGAGCCAAAGGACCTAAAGAAAGTGATGGCAGGGTGTTCAGTTCTCAGAGACAGAGCATTCAGCCATGCAACACCTCAAATCAGAAAATAAAAGCAGGCATCCAGGGTTTCACAGAATGTGTTAACAGCTGATTCAGAAGAAAGACTTAAAAATAGACCAGAACTTCTCAACAGCAACACTACTGACATTTTCAGCTGGATAATTCTTCATTCTGGGGGGTTGTGCTGCACACTATAGCGTTTCAGTGGCATCCTGCCCGTTACCCACCAGACGCCAGCAGTGCCCCTCTCCAGTGACAACAATCAAGACTGTCTCCAGACATTTTCAGACGTCCTCTGAGGGTCAAAATCATCCCAGTTGAGAACTACTATAATAGACTAATAGTTCCCAAAAAAGAAAACAGCCAATCCCAATGTAGGAGGCAAGTGAAAAGAAAGTTATTCAGTGTGAAAGATGTACAAAACATCTTGTGAAAAGAGGACTTCAAACCAGGTAAGAACAGAAGGTCCTCCTTTAGTCACCCCATCTAATGGTCTTCTCAAGACTGGTCATGGATGCAGTGGGTATGAAATAGAAGGAAACCCTCTCTGTAGTGAGCCTAGGTTTCATATACACACCATGCTTGCTGACTAGATGATATCCTACATATAGTCCTCACACTTGAGCATGGCTTCTGCCAAACTTAACAAAAATCCTCCCAGAATTAGCAAAAATCCCAAATTGTTTCTACAGTCATTGATCTGCATAGCCCTACTGAGCATCAGTCAGGGCTCCCGTGCTCAGAAAGCAGGACACCCTGAGACAGTGCCAAGATCAGCCTCCCTCTGTTGTGAGGCTCTACATGTTGTATATCTGTAGAGTCTTAGTATTCAAAGGTATCTTAGAAGCCATCTAATTAAGTTTACAAAATTTCCAGCACAAAATCCTTGACAAATGATTGAAACCTTTCACAAGGCAGGTTATGCCACTGTTGGACAAGCACTACTTACTCACAAGTTTTTGGTTTCGGCAGCAGAATCCGCCTCCTAGCAATGACTATTGTTGGACCTGGTTCTGTCCCCTAGAACGAGTAGTAAGTCCACCCTCTAATTTAGATGTCTGAAGGTAGATCCCAAAGTTACCTGTTAAGTCTTCCCTTCCTCATCTCTTCTCCATTCCAATCAACCATTCCCATCACAGTCAACTGTTTTTCACATGCCATCACCTTTGTCCCCACAAGTCACTCTCTTCTTCATCCTTTGAACACACACTCTCCTTCCTCAGAATCCAAAGGGATTTCATCAAGCACCTAACAAGTGCACTGAGCATGGGTCCCAAACCTCACCCCTTTCATTGAGGACCCCAAAACACTCCTTTACCTTTCATTCTCCTCATAAGACTTATCTTTAGCTTTACAGAAGAATAGGCATCAGGCAAATACAGCTCTCAAGATCACATCCTTCCCTTTTTCACACTCACCTATCCATGCCTTTTAGGTCTCCTCTCATCTTTCCTCTAGTCCGAGGAGGGTAAAATCCTGTCTGCACCAATCATGCTTTCTGTCCTATGGCTTTGGCTTCTCTCTCTCACTGGTCCTTTCTCAGAGTCCACAAATATGTGTGGGCTTCCCATCTCAAAACCAACCAGCGAACACAGACACCCCTTTTCTAACCAGAGCCCTAGAGTCCTGAGTTTCCTGCCTCCACATCTTAGTTATTCTAAGTGTCTTCCACATTTGAAGGCTTGTCACATTTATTTCTTCCTCACACCAGGATACTCCCTATACACTCCCTTTACTCCAGCACACCATGGGATCTGCAGGTCTCCATATGGACCATTTGTTTTCAGTGCCCGAACTGATCACCCTACCCCACCCCTGTCCAGTTGGCAAATGCCTATTCTCTTCTAAAGAAACTCAGATGTGATCTCTGTTGCATAGCCTTCTCTGGGGAAGTAGGAAGTTAATCAAACAATCAAATAATGTCTTATAAGTATTTTAAGCCTTAAATGAGATAATATACACTACTTAGCATAGTGAGGGGCAGAGAAATGCTTGATAAATTGTAGATATTATTATTATTAGCCCCTTAGGCTGTTTCCTTATCTCTACATGTTCATTATTGTCTCTAGGACCTCATGCTGTACCTGTCTAAGCAGGTGACAACCTCACCAATCCACCAGATTATAAAAGCAGAAATGCCTTTCCATCCATATGTCTCTAACACAGTGCCTGACATCTAGTAGGGACTCAATTAATATCTGATGAATGAGTAAATGACAATACACTTGCATGAGGACAAGGCAATTATTATGTCTTATAATTCACAAAAATATACCAGTTCTATGCAGATGGTTCTGGCCTTTCAGCAGTGATATCACATTTCAAACCTCCAATTTACCTCCATGAAATTTGGAACAGGTTAGAATGCCAAAGGGGGAATCAACTCTCCCTGACGCTGGCTCTGCAGTGGGGAGAGCGACCGTGCTGGATCATGGGAGCCTAGTGATCTCTTGGCTCAGGCTGGCACTTCTGTCCTTGGTGGGACAGGGTGGCCTTGAGCAGCCAGCCTCTTTGGGTTCAGCTGTGGGCCAGCACTGAAACCGAACAAAAGCAGCATTTATGCCACTACTCACAAAGCAGGCCCTTGGGCAAGGCTCGGGGGCCTTGCCTGTCAGCTTCTTTTTTCTCCAGACACAGCACTCGGCTCCACCTCTGCCTTTAGGAACTGGGGTAATGTCGGACACGGAGGGACAGAGAGAAAAGGTACGTTATGCCAGGTGTGAAAGCACTCAAAAAATGTTGCTTGGTAGCTATGAAAAGAAGATAAATTTTAGTGGACATTTCATTTTGATGACAGTATTGATAATTGTTTTATTTAATCAAAGCCAAAGGGCTGGCTTCCACTCTTTCCCCCAAGAAGCTTTTAAACTTTTATATCTCTTTGTCTCTCAGGACCTGGGCTTGAAATATTTTTGTCTAATATATAAATTGGCAGATCTTATGAAAAAAATACTTATATACTGAACTCTATGTGTCAGTCCTTTGCATATTGTGTCCATTATTCCTTATGAGGAGAGTATATTATTTCTATTTTGTAAATAAGGAGATTGAGCTCCTGGTAGTTTAAGTCACTTCTTCAGGACCACACACCTTATAAATGACCTTATTAGTAGTTAATCAACTTTTCCAAGGTCACATAGCTTTTAAAATGATCTGAATTAACTAATATCTAATTAAGTAGAAAGGTAACTGTTTCCCTTATTGTTATTAAAATAATAAATATTTTGTAACATAAAAGTGAACCAAAATTTATTAAGATAACATAAAAATATTCAAATGCTACTGTCAATTAAAGTTCTAATTTGTGCAAACAAATAAATTTGTGGCTTTAGTTGTCCTATGCTATTCAGAAAAAAATAAGAATATTTAGTTGCCAACAGGACTTTTGAAGTATCATAGATAATGGGCTCTGAGATTTCCAGGTTAGTGACACTGCTTTAGGGTATTTTTCTTTGCTATTCTGCCTTCAGAAACTATTTCTCAATGTATAGTATAAATGCTAAATGCCATTTTATGTTCCTTGTGGCCTTTTCAAAACACAGACAAGATTCTACCCATTGGGAAGGCATGCAAAGATCTTTCCTTTTCAAAACAGAGACAAGATTCTATCCACTGGGAAGGCATGCACAGATTTTTCCTTTGACCCAAATGCTTATCTGAAGCAAACACAATTTTAGGATTTCCTCAAGCTGTTTGCATGATCCCTGATGGTGCAGATAACAAAGATTTCAAAGGAATTTTGGGGCCTGGGAAAGAAATGAAAAGCTCACCTTTGCCCTTAGCTTTGTGTGTCCCTCAGCCAAGGGATCTGCTGGCCAGGCTTACTGGTAACTCCAGGTGTGTGCAGAAGGGTCCAATTTCAAAGTACTTGGGAAACCCTTGCTCTAAAGTCCCAAATAAGAGGCTGAGGCTTTGATTTGCAACAGGAAGACAGTCCCAAATTGTTCTGCAGAATCCATCCTACTCCAAGAAATAAGATTCAGGAAACTGGGGAATAACTTCCAGCTAAAAGGTACTGGGAGTCCCCCTGCTCTCTCAGCAAGAAGGCAGGGAGACTGAGCTGACACTCTAACTCACGGTAAAACCACCTGGAGGATGAGGCACAGGTGATCTCACCAGAGGGAACTCCCGGATGCAAAAATAAGGACAATGATCTCTTCCTGTGGCATTCCATCCAGCCAGCATAATCCATGATCTGTCAAAGGTCTTTGCTAATTTGAGTGTCACTCATCCTCCCTACTGTCTGCAAAGGTGTGGGCAGAATCACGGTCTGAGCTCAAAGAATGAGTGCACAGAGACTGGAGCTCATAGAAAGAACCATACCTTGTACAGATCAAGGTGGAAAGTACAGCATTACCGATAAATGTTAGAAGGTGGGGCAGGGAAGGACAAATTGATAAATTAAACTGATTTTAGTCTGGAGGATATAGCATCAGTAATGACAGGGAGATTATGTTACTAAATGGAAAACATTGAAGGTATAATATCAAGTGAAAAAAGATGCAAGCCCTTGTGCCTGCACATTTATTGCAATCTGTGGAAGAGGTACAGAGGACATGACTGAAAGGCATTAATAACATTTATTAGCGTGTATATGTGCCAGGTGCTCTATAAAGTGTGAATTATCTCATTTGATCCTTACCAAAAAGTCTATGAAGAAGCTTCTGTCAACATCCCATGAGGGTGGATGAGAGGATGAGGGCTGATGGAAGTCAGAGTAACCAGCTTGTTGGAAGTTCACACTAGCGGATGACCCGCGAGAGCAGATACTCTTACCCTCACTCTTCCTTAGGAAATCGTGGTTCTGTTGTATGTGGTGGGGTTGTGTCTGCATTGTTTTCTTTTAATCTACTCACTGAGAGTTCTGTAGTATGACTATATTAAATTTAAAAAATTTAAGATGTGTATTAAGAAATCAGAACTCACAACCTCTACTTCCCGGGAGTGTCCTGGTAATACACTCGGATCTCATCAGACAGTGAATTTGAGTTCTCATAAGGCCTATTGTTTGATTAAGCACAGGAATGAAAATGTCACCCCGAATCAGGTTCAGCAACTGTTTTTCAAGCCCTGGCTACAGGGAGGGTTCATGAAGGGAGCCTCTCCAGGTGCTGACTGAGCACCGTGCCTCGGGACTCTAGCGAGCACACTCGCTAACCTGTGACATACGGCTTCTGCCCTGTGTCTCCAAATGCACTTCCCACTTCTTATTCACAGAGATCTTCCCTTTACCGGAGTTGTCCCAGGGTCTTGTGCAGAGCACATCTGTGGGCCTCACCTCAGCCTCCCCATCCCTTAGCACCCAGTTCAAGTTTAGCCTCCGCCAGGAAGCCCCACCACCCACATCAACTTCTTTCTCTCTTGACTCCGCACGGAACCTATTTTCCCTCTCATTTAATTATACTCCACATTGTTTAATCTTTTAAATAGTTAATGTACCCAACCAAGACTTGCTTCTCTAAGATTTGTGGTTCCTAAGAGTAAGACAATTTTTTCTGTGTTTCTTTTTCATCCCTTCAGAGTGCCTTGTACAGTATGTTCCTTTAGTTCTGTATTAATCAGGACTCTTAGTTGCAGATGACAGAAAACCTAACTCCGCCTGGCAGAAGCTAAAAACAAACAAACAAACACAAACAAGGGTGGGGATAGAGGAAAAAGGGGTTTAGAGGCTCATGTCACTGACAAGTCCAGCAGCTTGGGGCAGGGTTAGCTCCTCAAAGAAAGTCACTGCACAGCCGCTGGGTCGTGTGGTCACTCCAGTCTGGGCGGAGGGCCAGCTCCACCGGGCCTGCGAGTGGACGACGGGCAGTTTTTCCCCAAAGGAGAAGCAAGCTGCTCTTGTCAAAAGAAGGATGGATGGACACTGGGCAAGCAAGAACAACAGATGTCCCTCACCCTATCGAATCAAATTCCTCAGCACTTTAATAATCATGATAATAACAACGATAATAACTGTTCTTCACTGGTCAGGCCCCAGAACTGAAACCCCATTAGGAACTGCCAGGCAGCAGCAAAGCTCTTATTAACCTGATCTCCACAGAAGTGAGCCAGGCCTGGGGGCAGAGCTACAAAGGAGAGCTTACAAATCTCTGAGACAGCATTTTAATACCACAGGGAATTTTTTTTCCTTTCCCACAAATTGTGTTAACCCTTTGGGAACAGGGGGAAACCCAGTGTAGAGCTCATTAGTGGCTTTCCTTCAGAGCTCTTCAAAGAGGCCCCGTCATTTGCCAACGTGATTTTTCTTAATATTGTGCAGACGGCAGGCTAATCCATCTTCAAATGATCTAATTGCATCCAACTTTCTCTTAAGAAACACTGCGTGGAGTTGCAAAGTCTTAATTGTGGGGTATATGCTGAATGTCTCCAAGATTAGAGAGCCAAGCATTCAAACCAGAGCTGGGGAATTTCCAGTGGAAACTTTTAGGGGAAGAAAATGGGAGGAGAGTGGCAAACTGGAAAGCTTCACCAAGTCCGGTTCCTGGGTCCCGGTGTTCATGACGTTGACTAAATGCTTTAGCTTACTGTTTTAGAATTTCCGCTTGGTGCTCACGGAGGTTCCGCCTGTGCCATGAAAGCCTGGTGCTTCCTTCCTTCCGCTTATTATTATGATGGAAGACATGGGTAAACTAATGGGGAAGGTGGGGGGGGCAGGCGGAGGAGCAGCTGGGATCTTTTGGCTGGCTGGGCAAGAATAAGGATGTCAAGTGGCCACTGTTTTCTTAGGCTTTCCTGGCCTTCTACTTTCTTAGCCCAGCAACCTTTACACACCATGGAAAGGGCCTAATGAAATAAAACAGCTTTACATAAAGGAGGTTAGCTAAGCCAAGTGAGGACAGGGTGAGGAGGGGGGAGAGGCTGGAAATGGAGCGGGGAAGTGCAGTGTTTTCTGTGTTGGTGGAAGCAAGGCACACACAGGCAGGTGAGATTAGTGCAAATACCAAAGGCTCTCCTTACATTTCGTTTCAATCTTGTCTATCTTATTTATCCTGTTTATTTGTCACAGCTACTCTATGGGGATTCAGTTGTTTTCTGAATCTACTTGAGGGAGAACGGAGACCGGAATGTCCCTGTGGAGACCTCTGCTGAAGCTAGTACCTGGCAAAGCTGGGCTCTGAACATCAAGGTGAGCACCATTTACTAAGACCTCCCCCCTTAGACATGCCATGAGGGCTGGAGGGCAGGGGCTGAATCAAGGTCACATGCAGGCTGCCAGCCCCCCTGAGGCTCGGCCATGTGTAGGTACAGAGAACCCAGCTCTCTCCTTCCCTGGCAGGCCTGGGGGAACTATCATTTTTACTAGGATGAAGTCATATATTAAACAATAACATGGTTTCTGTCAACATCAGACCTTCAGGCCTTTGTTCTGCCCGCCCCCACAAACATATTTATATTGGCCCTGGCTAACAATATCCCACTTTCCATTTGCATTTGCAATCCCTTATGTCTCATCTGGTATACAATATGCAGAAAATCAGCCCGTAAAGGACCTGGCAGTAAACCTAAGGCACTTTATTAACTCCACTTTCAAGTCCCTAGTGACCATGAGAACTGGAGGGCCTTTTCGGGGACGAGGGCCCTTCTTTCCTGGAGATTGGCCCATATGCCCCTCATAATCCAGGGCCCCAGAAGGAGTCTCCATGGGCCATTTATACACAACTCCAAAGGAAGAAGCCCCAGAAAGCAGACCCCCAATAATAGGACTAATAGAAAATTTCCATTGAGGGAGTGTTATGTGCCAGGCATAGTGCTAAATAAACCACACACATTATCACTCCTAATCCTCACGCTCCTTTGAGTAGATGCTATTTTGACCACAGAAGAGAAAACCTCACAGGTTATTGTGTAACTGCAGAAGATTCTCTGCTCCAAGCCTGGCAGCACCGGTGTGTTCTGTTACTCACTCACTGTTTAGATATTAATCAAGTGCCCTCCTGCACCTGGGGTAGCAGACATAAAACTGAGGGGTCCCGCTCAGCAAATTAACCATCGAATGCAACATAGTGTAAACTTGGGAAGCACAAATGGAGAGCGGAGGAAGGGAATCCCTTTCAGGCTGGGCTCTAGGAGCTCAAAAAGGAGAGAATACCTCTCTTACTGGCCTGGCCTCCTCTCCTAGCACAGGGCCAAGTGCTTCATCACACAGTACTCCATCCTTGTCACCTGACGAAGGCCAAGGCTATTTTGTAAGAGGCCAAGTGTCCCAGTTGAGTAGAGAAAGGTAACTTATACTGTCTTTATCCCATGAAAACCCCAGACATATCCATATGCGGATCCCACTCATTCCTAACAACAGCAAAATCCAGATGAGATGGGACCCCTAATAGGCTTTGTTAAAGAGCCACCAAGGTTTTTGCGTGTGTGCGTGGGGATGTATATGGGGGTGAGCAATGGTACGTGAGTTAAATGCCAGCTCCGTCCTAGGTTGTTAGGCATTATGCATACATTTTAAATTTGATGTCATTTATTCTGTTTATTTCCAGTGACTAATCCTTCACACTTGCCTCCTCCCCAGGCTATCTCAACTCTTCTTACTTCTTTACAACTTACTTCCACCTTAGCCCAAGTCACCAAACCACCTATTTTTCACACATGGACAGATACGAACCCCTCCTTACTAGTCTTCCAGCTTCCGCTCGTACCCTCCGCAGCTTCTCCGCAGCTGCCAGGATGCCCTTCTGACTATAAATTAAAATTGGTCCCTCCTTTTGCTGAAACCCTCCCATGTCCACATACCGCTGCAAGATTTGGCTCCTGCTTGCCTTTCCAACCTCACATTGTTCCCTCCACCCCTCACTCACCCAGTTTAAGCCACATCAGCCTTCCTTCCACTCCATGATTGTGCCAAATCCTTATCCGCTCAGGGCGGGAGCACTTACTGTTCTTTTGCCTACAATAGCCTCTTCCCCCAGCTCTTCACTGGCTGGCTCATTCCATTCCTCAGATGTCAGCTCAAATGTCAACTCCTTCCGAGAAAACTGTTGTTCACCAGGCTGTTAAAAGCAGCCCTTTCCTACCCCCAGACAATTACATATCACTCAGACTTCTTCCTTTTGTACTTATTTGTTTCTGTGCTTATCATCTATTTCTCTCACCAGAACCAAGTGCCACAAGGACAAAGAACTTGCCTGGTACTGTTCATCCATCTATTCCCAAAAGCCATGGCCTGGCACATAGTAGTTGCTCAATTAATATTTGCTAAATTAACAAATGAATAGTTCATCATTAGCAAATGAACTCTCCCAAGGACTCCTGAGGTGTATCTCTCAGAACATCCTCATTTGGTTGCTCAAGAAACTGAAGCTCAAAGAAGCCTGGAATTCAAATTCATAGGTCTGCATGGCTCCTATGCCGGGCCTTTTGTTACCATGCCAGGAAGTCTCTCCAGGACACAAAAAACAAGGAAGATGCAGGCTACAACATGGATGGACCCCCCAAACATAATGCTAAATGAAAGAAGCCAGACACAAATGGCCACATACTCCCTGATTCCATTCGCATAAAATGTCCAAAAGAGGCAAATCCACAGAGACAGAAAGCAGATTAGTGGATGCCAGGGGCTGGGAGTCGGGGTCAGGGGGAAATGGTAGCAACTGCTTAATGGGTATGGGTTTCCTTTTAGGATGATGAAAATGGTCTGCAATTAGATAATGGGGATAGGTACAGAGCACTGTGAATGTACACTTAAGATGGTTAAAGTTGTAAATTTTGTTATATATATTTTGCCACAATAAGAAAAGGAAGCAAAAGTGAGGAAGATGTCCCAGGGAGCCAGGTGCCCATAGCCATTTGCAGGCAGAGCCAGGGTCCCCCTCAAATCCCTGGTCTCCCAGTCACTTTGCTGCACTGGCTTCACGTACCGAGTGCACCGCCTCTTCCCATTGCCCTCCCTGCAGGATCTGCCTGCCACCAGGGGGACCGTTTCAAAAGGAGCCCTAATCTAAAAGAATGATGTTTTACTTTACAACTTTGTGCAGTTTCTCTTTGCATTTTACACTTTATCTTTAAATGAGGATGATCACCCAAGAGGAAATGGCACCTGCTGTACGCTGCTTTGACATCTGCACATCTGAGGTTTTTTGGTAGTTTTATTTTTAGCCCTACATGGATTCAAAATGCCACTGTGGAGAAGCTGTGAGCTCCGCAGTGTTTTAGCCAAGCAAAGTCTCTCTGAAACAGAACTGAGGGAGCATGTGGCTGAGGACTGAGGGTGGTGCTCTGCACTAGAAGATGTCTCACGTGTCCTTCAAACTTCAAAGCCGAGCCCTCATCCAGGTTCCCGGTTTAACAGCATGCTTCTCATTTCGCCCCCCACATCAAATCTCCCAGTGCTCTTACTATCAGAGTACTTTTTCAGGGTTAGAAACCCTGACTTCTTGATTGTTTTCCTGAATTCAATGAGATGGGCTGGACACTAGTAGGAGGGGCTCTCAAGACTGTCTGGGATGCTGCCACAAGGTGGATGTCCCCTGCCTTTCTAAGTCACCAATGAAGAGTGGGCTCACTGAAGGGCAGGGGCTGTGCTAAGCTCAGGGCACTGGTGAGTGAGTGAGCAAATGGCACATCACATTCATTCAATCAATTCTCCAGCGGAGGCCTACTGAGTACCAGTTGCTGTGCTAAACTCGTCACTTCATTTAATGGGACAAAGTGTCACTCAACTCCTACTGTGCACCAGGCTTTGCAAGGCTCTGGGAATAAAGAATGAATGAGATGGACAAGACTGAGGCTGCTTCTGAGTTTATGATCTAGCTAGAGTTTAAAGGTGTGCTGTCCAATGTGGTAACCACGTAACATGTGTAGGTATAGAACAGTTAAAGAACTTACATGCCATGGACTCACCGAACTAAGGGGAAGATTGCTAGAGGGAGGAGGTTATTGGGAGGAGGGGTACAAAGGGGGAAAGTTGGGATACCTGTAATAACATCATCAATAAAACACACTTAAAAATGTGGCTAGTGCAATGAATACAATGAATTTTAAATTTTACTTAACGTTAATAAATGTAAATTAAAAATTGAAGCGGTATAAAATAAGTTTTTTCCTGCTAAACACAACTTTATTGCTTTGGGAAGACTACATTTTACTTTAACTGGGGCTTCACCTAAGACTTTATTCTTTTATTATAGTGCATGTGTCAAGAGCATGCATTGTTTCCAATATGAAATATTAACACATCGCTAGTCTAGAAGGTGTAACAGACTGACAGTTCAAATGACTTTTTCTGTATGCCATATAACACTGTAAGGTTCTGATTTGAGTATTTTATGCAGACAGTATGAGTTATGGCTGAAACCTATGTGAATCCTAGCTGATAACTAAACTGAAATACTATTATTTTCCTTACAATAGTTAATTCGTTTTCCTACTTTAAAAAAGTCAGTATAGAGGAGTTTTTACATTTGAAACAAAGGCGTGTTACTGAGGCAGAATTGAGTGGAGATTTAGGAGACAGTACCATGACGCATGGCAAAGAACAGCACTGATTAAGGGTTTACAACAATGAGCAAATTCTATCCTTGGTGTCTCAAGAAGCAAATTTCTAGAAACCTTCAGTCCTTGGATTTAGCCTCCAAAAGTTCATAAATATTGAGGTCTAGATACAGAGCACCTTCTACACAATTAGAAAAAAACTGTTATAATAAGAAAGAGTGCAGACATAAGAATTTATTAAAATTTCCTTTTTTTTTTAGACAGGGGAGTAAAACACTGGGCTATTTTCTCCAAGCTATTAGATGTCTCTAAGATCGAAAGATATAAGGAAAAAATGTTCTGAAAATTATAAACAGTCATACAAATACAAGTGGTCTTATTCTTGTCTCTTTTTACAATCTCTCTTGGGAATTTCACCCCCTCCACCTCTTTGCTCATTGACTTGGGCCGCATGTCTACCATGTGTGCCCCTTTGTGTCTGACCTCTGCCCAGGTCCCAGTTCTACAACCCAAACCGTCCACTGGATAGTTCCAGCTGGAGGCTGGGCAGGGTTGCAACTCTGAATACTCTACCATTGCCTTAGTGTCCTCTTAGCCCGCCTCCACCCCAAGCTTTCTGGCGGCACGGAAGTCAATCTGGGGTACTGGTGCAGGGGCTGGGCTCACGTGCTTTCAGCAGCATCCACTGCCCCGCCCCCACCCTGCTCAGCATCCACCAGGGAAGTGACCTTTGCAGCTGCAATTCTCAGGCTTCCTGTGTCAGGTGACTTGAAGCCAAATTGTTTCTCTGCCTTCCTTCCTTCAGTCTTGGGGGATGAGGGAAAGCACCTTCTCATGACTCCAGTGCCCCAGAACAGGCTTGCCATCATTGCCGCCCCCACAGATGACCCTACCCCTAGGCTCCAGGAAAAACTGCCCCTTCTCTTTGTCCCTCCAGCCTAGGCACGGTTGCAGTTTCCATCTGTTGCTGATATTTAAGTAGTGCCAGCATCCCTTGTTTGTCTTCTCTGCAATTTCATGACCCTTGTAACCGATGCTGTGCATTGACTTCCCTGAATTAAATTCTGAGTTGGTTCTGCTTTCTTGATGGGATCCTGACGGTGTGGCAGGCATGTGATTATCCTGGCTCAGAGTTTCTGTTGCTTCAAGTCCTCTGGTATCTATAATATTTTAGAACTGGGCGATCTAATGCAAGTCTCCCTCAGGCAACAAGGAGGATGGGGGAGGGTACTTCTCAAATCTGGTGGAGTACACATAAAATCACTTGGGGTCATTTGATAAAACACCAAGTCTGGGCATCACCCTAAAAGATTTTGATTTGATATGTCTGGGGAGAAGCCTGGGTACGGGTTATTTTTAAAGCTCCTTGGGTGATCTTAATGTATCCTCTGAGTTGAGAAGCACTGCGAGGTAATGGGACCGTGGCTGTTGCTTTCGGAGCATATATAAGCATGAATGTCTCTCTGTGTGTGTATGTGTATGTGTGTATGACTTTGAGAGAGAGAGATGCAATGAGAAATTGTCAACACTGACACTGATTACCAGCACCAAAGACCAGAGAACAAAGAGAGAAGAAGAAACCTGAACATTAGGTTGAAAAAATCAAATGCAAATTATGTCATTTATGCAAAGAATCAACCCATTGTACTTAGCTACCCTTTAGGACAGTCAAGTTTATTCATAACATTTCATTAATTGTTTGTTGTAAGATTTGATTTTTTCCCTTAGAAAGCTCTGTGAGTGTGTGATTTAATAATGAATCTGTATTCACAAGTCACATATGCAAACCAGTGTCTTTAATTTTCCCATCAGCCTTCAGAGCCTGCTAGTGAGGCAACAAGATCATGAGATCAGCACTTTAAAAACACCCACATGAAGACATCAGAGGGCTCTGTCCACCACTATATCATATGGCCTCCAGCCTCAGTCCCCTCGCTCAACTTCACACAGACGCACTCAGCTTACAAGAGCCAAGTGAAGAAATATGGGAGGAAAGCCCACTGTATTTATTAGGAGGCAAACAGAGCCTGCTACTGAACAGCAAAGTGCATAGTCATTTCCACTTGACCCAGGAAGGCACAACACCATGCCCCTTCGAAATCTGGTGATCATGATGGCAGGGGTTTATCCACGTGGGAGTTCTGGGTAAAATAATTCCCACTGATTGATCTAACTATACAACACCATGATCAAAATGAGCAGGATGGAAGCACATGATGGATAAAAGAGGGCTACTAAGAGAGCACAAGAGCAAACTGCATGAAATCCAGAACTTGGAGAGGTCTTACTGTAATAAAGAGAATAGCAAAATCAGTTTCAATGAGTCACAAAATTTAACGTTAAAATAATTCTTTGATGACACTGAATTCAAGATGTTTAGTTTGCAAATTGAGGAACTGGGATCTAAAGAAGGTAAGCAATATGTCCAGGGTTCACTGGCTAGTAAACGATAGGGAAAGACTAGGACCCAGATCTGTGCCTTTTGTCTAAAGCCTTGCTTCCAGCTGTACTAGCACCTGCTGGGAGCATGTTAGAAATGCAGAGTCTCAGGTCCGGTCCCAGACCTGCTCTTTAACAACATCCCCAGGCGACTTTTATGCACATTACCATCTGAGAAGCAGTGCTCTAAACCACACTCTGACTGTGCTTAGGACATTCTGCTCATCCACAGCCAGTTAGGGGAATGCTGGAAAAGTACTTGCTCTGTAAGTAATAAAAGAAACCGGTGTTAATATTCATAAATGCAGAAAGGAAAAGTGAAAATGAGGTACAATGAGGAATTTTAGATCACTTGTGTTGCCTGGCACCCACATGTATGACTTAAAAACAGCTTCTAAGAATCAGAGGCCTGGAACATAGAAGGAGCTTGATAAAAATGTGTTGAGCAAATGAATAAAACTTGTCATATGTGGAGAAAAGATTTTAGACTCTTGATGTTCAATTTCACACACATCTGTAGAGTATCCACTATGTACTAGGTGCCATGCGAGCTGTGGGCATACATTCATGACTAATCTATGGACCGAGAGGCTCATGGCCTGGTGGACAAGCTTTCAGAACCTGTGCTTCTAGAAAGCAAATACTTATCTTTCCTCTTTTCTCTTTGTGCCCTGCACACAAAGATATGTTTGCCAATATTCACAAGTATCGTTTTAATTGGAAGCTTTCCACACCCTATTCATTCAGTGGGAATTGTTGAGTGATGGGGGTAGACTGGGATATAAGAGCTTGGCTTTTCAACCCTCTGTCCTTTCAGAACTATCCCCCACTGGGATTGGGAAATCCTCCTTATCTAATCTCTCCACATTCCCTCCATCTGCCCCTTCTCTGCTGAGTGCTGAGCCTCAGGCAGTCGGAGGAAGACTTGGAGGTTAGCTACTTCACTGGCCCCCTGTGTCCTGGCCCAGCTGCTGAGTGACTTCCTGGTCTCCCCTCTGCAGGCACCTCTGCCTCTGAACTAACTCCCTGAGTATTTGCATTACAACTTATCCTAGAGTTTATCTTGAGTTGAAAAATTACATTATCACTTCCTGGGCTGGGCCAGCACCCAGCTACACTTCTTCACTGTGGCTGAGACTTGGAAACAGATAAGAGAAGGAAAGAATTCTTCAAAAGCCGATCACTTTGTCTTTCTACGAAAAGGGACATTAGCCAAAGGCCAAGGAGAGAAAAAGGAATAAAGGCTTCAAAGTCTCTTACTGGGGTTTACAGCAGGAAACGTGGTCCAGAAGGTCTCTAGCTGGAAAGAAGACACAGCTTCTTTGTTCAAATAACAATGATAATGATGCAGTGATGATGGCAGGGATGATGATGACGATGATGTTAATAACCTTATTAAGCTCCTCGTATGTGCCAAGTACAGTGCTATGTACCTAACACACATTCCTATTATTTCATTTCATCTTCACAACAACCCTATAGATACCTTTGTCCCCGGTGCCCCTTTTATAGACTTCTGAAGGAGCCCTCAGAGGATGAAGGAAAAGAAATGCAACGTAAATTCATGAAACTTAATTACATACCAGGCCCGATACTAGGATTTCTCATATGTCATAAGACAGGTGAGGTAATCAAGTCAACAAATAATGTCTCATTTATTTGAGGAATATTTATTGAGATCTACCAGGTATTAAGTACTTTATATTCAGTGTCTCATTACTGCTAATGATGATCCTAAGATAGGTACTATTATTACTCCCTTATAGAAGAAGACCCTTGGATGTTGCCTTTTCTTTCTCTTTTCTTTTTCTCTTTCTTTTTCTTTTTCTCTCTTTCTTTCTTTTCCTTC